TCCAGGTAGAGGCCACTGCGATCCCTTGACCAAATTGTATCAGTAAGAAGTCTTGCTATAGTGTAGAAATAGTATTCTACAAACACCCAGCCAGCGCACAATGAATCCAAGCACTCAGATTGCGTTTATTTATACTCTATAGACAGAGACGTCCTTGAGAGAGTCACAAAAATAGCACACTAAAATGACACAGTAACCAACCAATCACAGCCAAGGATTTTCCTGGTGGGAAATGTGATCTCAAGCTCAACTGATCGATCGTTTCATGAAATAAATCCAAAATAACGATATTTATCAAGCGAGTTCTGGGGATCTAACATCTCCAACATATATACTGAAGACTATAATCTTTTATTGTCTCCTTTTATGCCAGTTAATCTGAAAGACAAATGTTGCTTTGAAGACTTGTTAAGAGCGAGAGAGAGAGTGAGAGAGGGAGATTAGGGAAGACTGATTCTTGTACAGAGAGAACGTATTTCAATGTCAACTAACGACTGAAATGAAAGATTCTTTGCTTATTAGATAAAAATGTGGATTTTTGTTTGTATAAATTAAAAATGGTGAATTATTCGTGAAAGAATGATACGCGGTAGTTCATCGAACTGATTAGTTTATTTTCATTAATTGATTAATTATGAAACTGTTAAAAAATTAAACAACTGATGTCTTTTTCTCGATTAAAATGTGTCAGATGAGATAATTGAGTAGTTATGGTAATTGTAGTTTGCGTGTGTGTGTGTGTGTGTGTGTGTGTAAGAGAGAGAGAGTGAGAGACAGTACATATGTACACTCGTACTTTGTTTAAAAAATATTGATCTCAATTGATCAAAGTTTCTTGGGATAAGAAATGCATTGCTCTGCTCTGATTCAATAATAATTATCTCCTATTTGGAATAATCACTGACGACATTAGGAAACAATAAATAACGTAACATTTATAAGCTTCGTTAGAATTGTTCTGTTGAAATCATAAATCAATCATTGTTAAACCATCCTTCGAAACCTGGACGACCGTCTCGTCCTGGTATGAGACTGATCAGCGGGAGTGCGCATCCGCGACTCCTGCTACTTGCAGTATCCAGTGGTTAGGCGTTCCCATGCAAGACTGAATGTCGTGGGTTCGAATCATGTGAGGTGCAGGAGTCGTGGATGTGCACTGCTACTAGTGAGTAGTCCCATACCAGAGGACGAAACGGACATCTTCCAGTTTTCTAATGGTGTTGTCTAACGATGAATGGTTCATGATTTCACTGTGTAAAAACACTGATCTCCATAACTCTAAATGGAAAGTATACAGGTTTATCGTTCTAATCAGTATCCGATGATGTTTGAGATGTTTTGTGGTGTAGGAGTAGGTTCGAAGAAAGCTAGGTGCGGTTACACCAAAACATGACACAAACCCATGAAGTCACTGACAAGTAGATTGAATCATATTGATAAGTGTAGACTACTTGGTTAAGGTCCACGAGTCGACAGTAATCGATGGTTAGAGACTTTGGAAGATATGGCTCAAAACCGTTTGCTATGGCGTCGGTGCATCCACTGTTTGTGTTCTCTCTATAATTTTAACCTTCTGAATTCCTCACCATCTCTATCTTTCTCCTTCTAAATTTATCTCACTGAATTATACTTCGTGTATAATATCTTCGAACCCCAATCTTCTCCATTACTGCTAATACTTCTATTATTGCTACCACTCTTGGATTTGAACTGACAGTTGCGTCTCTGTGCTGATGTGGTATGACAACCTGAACTTATGTACTCATGTACGAAGTTCTGCGTTGTATCTGTCTGTCTGTCTAAATTCATGAGCTGATCAATGTTAGGCCATCATTAAAAACTTAAAAGCACCGGACAATCGTTTCGTCCTGGTATGGGACTCATCAGCTGTAGCCATTCATTGGCCTCATAAGCAGGAATCAAACTCAGAACCTTCGATCTGAAGCTCGAACACTTGACGTATTGAACACTAAAAAACACTAAAAGATAACTTTTGATAGGTCAGACAGGCAGACAGACAGATATAACGCAGAACTTCGTACACAAGTACATCAGTTCAGGTTGCCATACCACATCAGCATAGACACGTAACTGTCAGTTCAAATGCAATAGTGTTAGTGATAGTAGAAGTATTAGTAGTGAATGGAGAAGATTAGGGAGCGAACATATGATTCGAAAAGTATAATTCAGTGTGAGATAACTTTAGAAGGAGAAAGATGGCGATGATGAGGAATTCAGAAGGTTAAAATTATAGAGAGAACACAAACAGTGGATGCACCGACGCAATTGATAAGTATTTTTGATTAGTTCAATATAACACTTGTATTTATCTGTTCAATAGTTAACATATATCTTCATGTGGTAATATCTTCGTTTACTCTCCGGAAACCATTAGATCAATGCATAAAGTCATAGATTTTCAAATTAACAATTGACAGCTTCATTTTCATCCTTTTCTTTTAAAACAACATTTATACATTTCTTTTTTTTAAAAAAAAAGGTTGATACACCAATTCTTACTTCAACCGATTGTGAAGGTACCGGTCAAATGTTCAATGTACAAAGTGCACCTGTATCAAATAATCAACCGAAAGAATTGAATAATAATTCATCATGTATCTATTTAACTGGTAGTGCTCAAATGCATTTAGAATCACTTGCATTAGGTTTAAGTAAAGTAAGTTAAATTGTCAATTTTTTGTTTGTTTGTTTGTTATGATTATTGTGAATGATTTAGGCGGCATTTTAAATTCTTTTCACTAGATATTTGATTAGTCATCGTTTTTTTTTTATTTTTTTACAATACTTTGGCATAGTTTATTCATGAAGAATCATTGAATTTTTGTTTTAATCAAATGAAAAAATTTTTTTTGTCTTGTTCAATTTAATTCAAATAAAAATGCAACTTTAGGTATTTGTTCAAATTTATCACAGTTAGTCAGAGTCAGATGCAACGTAGAACTTTTTAAGTAAGTACATCAGTTCATGTTGCCATACCACATCAGTACAGAGATGTAATTGTCAATTCAAATCCAATAGTAGAAGAGGTTGTAAATGTATTAGAAGTAATCGGAGAGGTTAGGATTAGCAGATATTATTAAAGAAGTATGATTTAATGAGAAAAGTTTAGAAAGACAAAAGTAGAGTTGTTGAAGAATTCAGAAGATTGGGATTTGAGAGAACACAAAGAATAAGTGCACCGGCACCATTGCAAACGGTTTTGAGTCATGTCATTCAGGGTCTCTAACCATCGGTTCCTATCGTCTTGCGGATCTCAACCAGGTAGTCGACAACTGACGACATGATTCAGTCCACTTGTCAATGACTTCATGGATTGCTGCTATGTTTCGGTCTGCTCGCCCCTAACTTTCTTCCAACCTATTCCTACACTACAAAACAAACTCGTCGAGGCAATCGGTGGTTAGGCGTACGCAACACATGTCCCAACCACCTCAATTGACGAAATTTCATCACTTCATCTATTGATCTGTCATTCTTACCTAGCACCCGTTTCTTAATAACAGCGTTGCTCACTCGGGTGTCCCACGATATACGAGCAATGCTTCGAAGACACCTATGATCGAAAACCAATAACCTACGAATATCTTCTACTCTGACTGGCCATGTTTCATAGCCATAAAGTAAGACGGAGCGAACTGCTGCACAGTACACTCGTCCTTTAGTCAGCAAACGGATATCTCGCCTTCGCCATAGGTGACGCAAGTTGGCAAAAGCCAACTGAGCCTTCTGTATCCGAACTGAGATTTCGTCAGTCACCAGGCCATCGGAAACGATCAGACTACCGAGATAAGTGAAGCGGTCAACACGCTCGACTACTTCACTCCCTATCACTAGTTCAGTTGCCGATGCAACCCAATCTTGAAACAACATTTTGCATTTCGAGGGTGAGAACCGGATCCTGAACATGCTCGCATTGTTGCTTAGGGTGGTCAGAAGACTGTATTTTGTTAGCGTCTTCGCCAAATTTATATAATCCTATCATTAATATTTTAAATACTTTTCAAAAGTACAATTATTTTTATATTTTTAAAGAGTATTAGTAAACTTTTCATTATTATTTCTATGTGATTGACTCATGAGATGTTTGAGATGGTGGTCCAGTTTTAACAACAGTAAGATTAACCGAGATCTTTGGTAGAATCTGGGAATTAGGCGTAATACCAATTTATAAGAAAGGACAAAAGTCCTCTTGTAACAATCATAGGAGAATCAGTCTAACTAATATGGTATCTAAAATTCTGGCCTGAATAATACTCCGACGCCTAACGAAAGCTCGTGAAGAGCAGATTAGAGAAAACCAAGCTGGTTTCAGACCTGAACATGGATGTATGGACCACGTTTTTACACTACGACAGGTCTCGGAACACAGACACACATTTAGGCGTCCAGCAATAGTTGTCAGCCTGGATCTTAAGGCGATATTGACTCAATCCACGAGATTGATCCGATGGGCAGAACACTTTAGGGACCAGCTCAACTGGTCTTCAGCCACACTTCGGTTGCCCACGATCCTCAGTCATCCTGAATGGCAAGTCGACTTGAGTCCTCCTAGTCTTTATGAAGTTGAGAAAGCTCTAGGAAATCTGAAGCGAGGTAAAGCAGCGGGTCCTGATAGATTGACCGTTGAGATTTGTAAAGATGTTGGTCCTGTGGCAGTGTCTGTCATTAAAAGGTGTACCGGAGAAGTACATTAACCTTATACAAGCTCTCTACTCGAACACTACAGGTTGAGTGAGAGCTTATGGCGAATTATCATCGGAATTAGTTACTTCAAGTGATGTCCGTCAAGGCTGTCCGCTCTCCCCCCTATTCTTGTTTAACTTTGTCGTAGATATGCTTTCAGAGTTAAGATTATCATCGTCTGACTTTTCAGAAATGGATCTTTCACCTGGAGACACGCTTGCTGACTTAGAGTATGCTGATGACATAGTCCTATTCGATGAAGACGCTGACAAAATGCAGAGTCTTTTGACTACCCTAAGCAACAATTCAAGCATGTTCGGGATACGGTTCTCACCCTCGAAATGCAAATGCTGCTTTAAGAATGGCTTGCGTCGGTACATGAACTAATGATAGGGAGTGAAGTAGTCGACCGCGTCACTTATCTCGGGAGTTTCATTAGGGCTGATGGCCTGGTGACTGACAAAATCTCAGGACGGATACAGAAGACCCTATCAGTTTTTGCCAATCTTCATCTCCTATGGCGTAGGTGAGATATCAGTGTACTAACCAAAGGGCGAGTCTACTGCGCAGCAGTTCCCTTGTTCCTACTATATGGTTACGAAACATGGCCGGTAAGAGTAGAGGACATACGTAGGTTATTATTAGTATTCGATTATTGATGTCTTTGAAGCATTGCTCGTATATTGTGCGACCACCGAGTAAGTAATGCTGTTGTTAGGGAACCAGTACTAGGTAGGGATGGTAGATCAGTAGATGGAGTATTGAAACTTCATCAGTTGAGGTAGTTGAGACATGTGTTACGTATGCCCGACCACCGACTGCCTGGACGAGCTATGTTTTATGGTGTATGAGTAGGTTGGAAGAAAGCTAGGGGCGGCCAAACCAAAACATGGCAAAATTCCACGAAGTCACTGACAAATGGACTGAGTCATGCCGGTAGATGTAGGCTATCTGGTTGGGGTCTGCGAGACGAAAATCACCGATGGTTAGAAACCTTGAACTACATAGCTCAAAATCGTTTGCAATGGCACAGGTGCATCCACTATTTCTTTTCTCCCAAATTCTAACGTTCTGAATTCCTCATAATCTCTATCTCTCTCTTTCAAAATTTATCTCACTGAACTATACTTTTGAATAATATTTCCGAACCCTAACCTTCTCCATTACTACTAATACTTCTACTATCACTATCACTCTTGAATTTGAATTGACAGTTGTGTCTCTGTGCTGATGTGGTATGGCAACCTGAACTGATGTACTTTTGTACGAAGTTCTACGTACTAATTTTTACCTAATCGAAATAGTTATAAGTTTAATTTTGCCCAAAATGCATGGGAAAATCCATAATTTCAAGGAGTGCTGACATTGTTAGAGTTAGTCGTAAATTGTCAGTGTCCATACCCTAAAATAAATAAAACTTCTTGATTTTAAGTCGACTTTTCAGTCTGTCAGTCAGTTAATTACATAGTACAATTTCGTATGTATGTACGTACCTCAGTTCAAGTTACCATACCAGTTTAGCACATAGAGAGACAATTGTAGATTCAAATCGCATATATATGTATATATATGTATACTGTCAGTTATATCATGAATAATCGATAAACATGATGTCATCATAGAAAGATTACAACACTATTTTAAGTAGTGTTGTTAATAATTATCATAAAAAATTATGTGTATCTGTGCAACCTAATAGCCGTACAAAATCAATAAGTTAACAATGGATTACAATGTGAATGGAGTAAGACAGAGATCATGAAAATCTGCTAACCATTAGAATTCAATCTATTATAGTGGTTAGATAATATGAAGCCATATCAGAAACCATTATGAATAAAATCAAAGAGAGATCTGGGAATATTTACAGTAATGCCATGTTAAAGAGAAGGATAACACTTGCTTCCTTGTTACTCGTAATTGTCACTTCATCTTATGGATGGCAAGAGCTGCGGATGATTTGAGGAGATGGAAACCATGAAATCTATGTAGATTTCGATAAATTGTATGAGTGACGCTTAAATGAACCTGTGGATCAATGAAGTAATCCAAATCGAAAATGGAACTTCTAACTGCTTTACTCCCACTACTGTAGAATAATACTGAGACATGTTTTACGTATCGCATTGGAAGTAATCTCAAGTTTTGAACCGAGGACCTTCGGTGTTGTGCGCCAACGCCTAACCTCTGGACCGCTTAGCCTAAGCTCATCCACTGTCTTCAGCGAGCACTGCTTCATACCTAAACTTCACTGATCATGACTCCTCAATAGAACTTCTCAGTGGTCCAGATGTTGATGTTGATGTTCGCGCGCAAGACTGAAAGTCCTGTGTTTGAATCCTGTGAGCAGCAAGAGTCGTGGATGCTGATGAATAGTCCCATACCAGGACGAAATGGCCTTCCAGTGCTTCCATGTTTCCAATGGTGTTGGTCTAACATTGATCGATTCATGATTTCCACAACAACTCAACAATCTCCATAACCCTTTCATCTAATGTAACTATTTACCGTTAATCCTTACATGAAATAGCATTTTTATATATTCTAAAGAGGCATACTTTTCTAACCAATAGTTATTGTATTTCTTTCCTCATTCAAAACTAATTAGGTTTATACATTGAATCCAACATTTCGTGCAGAAAATTCAAATACACGACATCATCTTGCAGAATTTTATATGCTTGAAGCAGAATCAATTTATTTAAATAATATTAATTCATTATGCGAGGAAATTGAATTAATCATTAAAAAAATATGCAATGAATGTTTGCTAATTTATCCTAAACCAGAATGTCATCAATTGAATGCTTTACAAGTAAGTAACAGTTTCTTTTTCGCTCTCTATCTCTCTCTTTCTCTCTCCCTACAAACCCTTAAACATGAGGGATTTTTCATGGAATGAAGTTGTTGTTTTTTTAGCCTAAGAGTTCATTGCATTGCGTGGTTGTTGTGAAGATTGTTAAGTTTTATTTGTAACCATGAATCGATCAATGTTAGGGCGTTCGCACACAATACCGAAGGTCCCGGGTTCGAATCCTGCGGGATGCAGGAGTCGTGGATGCGCACTGCTGATGAGTCCCATACCAGGACGAAACGGCTGTCCAGTGCTTCCAGGTTTCTAATGGTGATCTAACATTAATCGATTCACGATTTCAAAAAATGTGTAACTTAACAATCTTCACAACCCCGTAATACAATTACCTGTGCTCACTAGTGACTAGCTTCGTGAGGAATCTTCTCCGAATTGTAGTGGGAAGTCGTGACCAGTGAATTCAAACCTGTTCGGATGTATACAGGGTATGAGGTTGCGCAACTCCGTGAATTTGATCAAGTTAGACATTAACACCGTTAGATACCGGCTCAGTGGTCTAACGGTTAGGGCGTTCGCGCGCAATATCGAAGGTCCTGGGTTCTAATCCTGCGGGATGCAGGAGTCGTGGGTGTGAACTGCTGATGAGTCCCATACCAGAACGAAACGACTGTCCAGTGCCTCCAGGTTTCTAATGGTGGTCTAACATTGATCGATTCATGGTTACAAATAAGAGTTCATTATTTAGTTTGATTGGTTGATAATGATCTCACATTTTGAATTGCCCGCTTCATAGGTTCACACTCATTTTGGTGTGACCTTGACACACACACACACGCACCATTGATCGATTCATTGTTCAATGATTAAAAGCATTCGTTGTTTTGTTTTGTTTTCACTAATCAATCCAATTTTTTTATGCGTATATACAAGAAAAATATGTCACTGTTGTACTTTATATCGAAATATTTTATATTTATTGTCCTTAACTCAAAGAATTTATGACAATTCTCAAGGTTATTGTGTTTTTTTTATGCTCTTTGGTCTTTAATAGAAATGGAAATCTAATTTAAATGATTATACGCATCTTTCTTCATTGTGTTCACTGTTTTACTGTTGTTTTACTGTTACTGGTATGAATTTTTATTGTAAAGCTATGATTTCATAGTTTCACATAATTTCAAGTGAGCCAAAGGAGACTGCCCCACGTGTTATTTAACCATACTACTACTTGTACAATTCAGTTCAGCATACTGCCGTGGCGTAATCATATATATGTGTTAGGGACGTTAAATCCCTGGAACTCACTTGATAAAAGGTCCTAATTTTGGAATATTCTCGTTTTCAAGTGTGCGCTGACCAGTTGACCTTGAGATGACACTTCTCACTCGGACACCCTAGACTGTTATTGGTTGATGTATTATTTAAGTACGCGCTATATTGTGGTTCTCTCAAGGACGTTTCTATCATGTATAAATAAACTCGATTTTTGTGCTTGTCAACCTAATATTTTTTGGGTGCTTGTAGAATACACTTTCTACACCATATCAAGACTCCATCTATTTAGTGTCAGGCCTTAGGACGCATATCAATTAACGAGCATAACAACATGCTGTCGGAAACTCTATTAGACTAATTAGTTTCAATTAAATTAATTTGAAAATTCAGTAATTAATCAATCAATGAAATTATTATTCATTCTTTCATTCAAATTATACTCGATGACCCTATTGTTACGGTTGTCTTGACACAATGATTCATTTTGTATTGAATGTTCATCTATGATTGAGTAGTAGTTACATTGTTGATGTGATATACTTGAATACTATTACGAGTTTACCTTTCTCGGTAAACGGAACGAAGAGCAGTGACTGAGTGATACGATAGACTGTTCAAATCTGTCTGTCCTCGGTCCTGGTAACTAAAGCAAGAAATCTTGATAAGGCTTAGAAAATGTATTGTAAAAGCACCCAGAAAACACGGGTTTGTTAAGCACACAAACAAAGCTTATTTCTACAATGATAAAAATGCATTTGGGGAAGCCACAAAATAGCGTACTACAAAAAAATCCGTCAACCAATGATAATCAAGGATTTTCCGAGTGGGAAATGTAAACTGTAGGTCAACTAAGCATCATTTGGCGCGAAAACATGCAAATTCAGAATTTCAGAATAAAATTTTAAAATTAGGACCTTTTTCCAAGTGAGTTCTGAGGATCTAACTTTCCCAGGGTTCGAATCCTGTGAGTAGTAGAAGGAGTCGTGGATGTGCACTGCCACTGGTGAGTAGTCCCATACCAGAGGGTGAAACAACTGTCTTTCCAGGTTTTTAATGACAGTGTCTAACAACGAATAATCCATAGGTTTATTGCTGTTTGTTTCTGTGAATCAATCATTGTTAATTTATAACCTCCTCTAGTAAGTATAAATGTTTATCTTACAGTAAGGTAACGGTAATTGTTTAGCTGATGGATCTATCCTAAAGAAAGTACGCTAATGTTCTTGTCAAAAGCAGACCGACAGATACTACGCAGAACTTTGTACGTACATACATCAGTTCAGGTTGCCATACCGCATTAGCACAGACACGCAAATGTCACTTCAAATCACATAGTGCTAACGATAGTAGGACTGTTAGCAGTAATGGAGAAGATTAGGGTTCGAAGATATGATTCGAGAAGTATAATTCAGTGAGATAAATTTTGAAAGAGAAATATAGAGATGATGAGGAATTCAGAAGGTTAGAATTTGGGAGAAAAGAAATAGTGGATGCACCTGCGCTATTACAAACGACTTTGAGCCCTGTTCAGGTGAGGCAGAGTATACATAACATGGCACTTCGACTGATTTAGTTTTATACCGTTTTCGATGCCTGCTTCTCAATGGATGAAAAGTCCGTTTGAAGCCCAGTCGGATCCTCTTCGCTTACAATGTACATGCAGATCTTCACATCGTCTGTGAGGATCAATGCCTGCAAGTTTCTTGTGTCAAAAAAGTCGTTATTAAACATCAGGGAAAGAAATGGTTCTCAGATGGTCGAATATGAAACTCTCGAATTTACGACTCACTAACTCGCGTTAAATCTATTTACCTTCGTGCATAACCTTCAATTTGCAGGATGCATTCTGAACATTGATAGCATTGGGTGAGTAAAGCCTATTTCCGCAAACTGGGAGGCTAGGAGTGGGTGAGGTTTAGTCTAGAAATAAAACATGCGGCGGTATTTATCAGTCCAACCAGGATGTCCAACTGCCCCGTGAAATAAAAAGATTGGATACGCACGACCTGCATCTCCGAAACCTATGTTGAGCTTCATGTGGTATCTTATCCATATCCATCTACTCCCTCACTTATCCTGATTCGTGGGTTTTACTTTTATCATGAACCTAAATATATGCTTAGTGTTTACCTGTGTTTCGGAGCTGTCTCCTATGATTTTGAACCTTGAAATTGCATCTATTTGGATGTGAACACCGTCGATCTGGAGCGTTCAGTGTAGAGCCTAACGGAAATTCTACTCCTTCCAGGTTTGCAGTGCACATTAGGTTCGTCGTTTAATATAGCATTCAGGATGATGTCTCTTACTTTTTTTCAGTATGCATTGACGCCCCCGCGGCCATGATGCATGTAGAAGATTCATTCCGATGCGCGTGTAAGTTGCCCCACTGAAGCAAGGGTAGTGATCGTTTCTATTAAGCTTGAGTCTTTTGTTTATTACTATGTAACACAAATCTGCACCATATTTTCTACTTCCATTTGGTGGACGGTGATCCAAGAACGGTAGTTGGGCGTTAGTTATCATCATTCAGCCCAAAATAGGTGCAATTCATCAAATGTGGCGAACTTTATAGACTGATTTGTGACAGATAGCAGTCGGTGTAAAAAACGATCAGTGATGTTCACTCGTTATCCTGAAAAATGTCAGACAGTTTGTTGAGGTGAAAAACTGAATACGTAAAAAACATGTTAAGAATCTTTTACACCAGACATCTGAAACAATCGTTTACACAAAATGTCATATCATATCATCCACGAATAGAAGGTAGACAGTCGATGCGATGTTTCTGCTCAAGCCCGAATAACCGGTGTAACAGCATATAAAACCTTGTGTTTGACAACGTCTTACCTAGTTAAGTGCCTTCCAAAATATGATATCTTTGATGAGAAAAATCTGCTGTAATTCCTCGCCATTAATTAGAAGATGAAATTATATCACATATCTTTTTTCACTGTTCGTATGGATCAGAGTCGAAATCCGCAGAGAGATTAATTGATTCACTAGCTTTTTCAAAGACCAGAACATCTCGTAAGGGAAACACTCTCCAATGATGGCAACACTAGACACAGGACAAGTTGCTGTAGGTATCCCTCTCTCATCCCAGAGAACATCGGTTAAAATTTTCTCCTAGTTCATGATGTGCTTGAACTGGATTGTGATATTTTGGATGAAGCTCACTTGCAAGATCTACAACGGCACAGTTCGAAGAAGACCTCTCTAGCCACATTAGGTGCTGTGAAAGCCGACCTAGATCTGTGAGACAACAGTAAGGAGGCCATAATAAACGCAGGAAATCTACAGTTGACCCCAATCAGCAACCCACGGCACAAGACAGGAAGATGGTTGTCTCGTCGAATGAACATACTGCACAGGTGAGAAACCCGCAGAGGCCATTTCCCATAAAACAGGCCAACTCGGTTTGAACAACCTGTCTGAAAATCCGACAACGGCTGTTGCTGCAGAGGTGCACCATGTGCTGGAGACAAAACACAAAGTGTCCCAGTGTCAATGTGAGAAGACTAAGGGGTAGGCTGTTAGAAATCAGGAGCATGTGCTCTCAGATGGATCTGAAGATCATAATCCTAACTGAAACATGGCTATCCCCTGACACTGCAGACGACCAAGTGGACTTACAAGGCATGGCAATCTTCCTAAGTGATAAAAAACTCCAGACTGGAGGCGGAGTGGCTTCATATAAATTCAGATTTGAAAAACCGAGCGGCTATAGTACACACAACTAACTGAGGTGATTCCATCATATTGGTGTTTTTTTCACACAAATGGCACGAAATACTTTATTGAAGGGATTAGCCGACGCACCTCAATAACCAAGGCTCACAAAGATAAACTGACTGAACCAATACTGCAACTGACACTACTTAGTTTGATCCAATAATCTTTTCTCAAGATTTTAAAACTCCATCTATAAATCTCAGCAATCAGGGTACAACTCCCACTGGTCGGTTCCAAAGACGACCTGGCGCAGCATTAGAAGCTCTTAACCTACTGAACATGTATGTAGATGGACTAAAGAGAGAAAGTCCCAACACCTGGCTAACTTGTTGATAAATGAGCAGCTACTGATCAACGGTGTCCAAATCCGAACACCAATCGGAAGTAGCGACCATGGCACAGTTTTGCTTAACATGATCATAAACAAAACACACCCAGGACAAAAACAAGTCCTATCTTCGCTACACTAGGGAAAATCATACGCGTATGAGAGAGATCCTCATACATTCTCCATGACCGCGGGAGTGGTGGAGGCTGACAGTGAGAGATATCGTTCAGAATGCTGTCCTGGAAAATGTACGTCAGTCACATCACACACCTGAGAACGGAAAAACATGGATTAGGCTCGGCACTGAACGCTCAGTAAAAGCGAGGAGAGCCTGGAAGAAGTAGACGGTCTCTCTGAACGATTCTGACAGTGGTTCTTGTTCGGCATTGAGAAACAGAAGCTATGTCAAGGTTCGAAATCATAGGAGACAGCTCCGAAACACAAGTAAACACTAAGCATCTGCTTAGGTTCATGATAAAAGCGAAAACCCACGAATCAGGATGAGTTTTCCCTCACATGTTCAAATGGCTAATGTCTCACCATACAGGAGATGGCTGAGATCGTCACAACCAACTTCATTGATCAGTTAAATCAGGTATCCACACTGTCCATAATACTACGCAAACCTAATGACAGCTGACGGCTTAGGGAATAACCGTATTACCCCCGACTTAGTACTAAGGAAACTAAAATCCTTACGCCCAGGAAAGTCACCAGGTTATGACAATATTCGCCCAATTGTCTCTAAGTAACGCGCAGAAGTCCACTATTCACCGATATGTGACCTGTTCAGGCATTCACCGGAGTCATACCAATGTCCAGCTGAATGGAAACAAGCTACTGCCTCTCAAATCTTCAAAGGGGGAGAAAGGAAGGACCCAGGCTGTTACAGATCAGTTGCATGACTACCGTTACTATCAAAGGTAATGGAAGGGCTGGCGAACGAACAAATGAGGGAGTAGATGGATAAGAATAAGATACTACATGAAGCTCAACATAGGTTTCGGAGATGCAGGTCGTGCGAGTACAATCATTTTATAGCATTTGGTGAACGTCTGAGAAAAGCAGCAATGTCAGTTGTAGAAAATTTTACGATGGTAGACTATAGCATTTCGGATTACTTCTCTGTGTTCCACCAGGAGCAGTCTGCTTCGGTGATGGCCTACTGAATTTCAAGCACTTTTTTTACATCCCAATATGAGCATTTCAGCGAAACATCACCACCTGGCCTCTTGCCGTAATCCTCTGAACATTGTGTGTCAGTGAACTAACCCCTAGGTTTGCGCAAAAACAGTTGTTGCTACTTGGAATGGTCTTCCAGCCGTGATGACCACAACCATTTAGTGGGGAGAACTTAGAACAGACTTTATATACATACACCTTCATAGGGAGCATTATAACCTTCGGGGACTATCTGTACCAGATGCATATCTCGAAATTGGCCATCCGTTATCAGTGTCATCTCCTCAGATCACTAAACTAACCAATCAAGTTTATTATCTCTGTTTAATGTTCTTTGCCAGCGCTTATATCGTCTCTCACAAGCTTCATTAGCAGTTAATTAACTTATTCATTTATTTGCACCCCACTACTAAATACCTAAAAAATGTAGCGAAAGAACAAGAATCAAGCTCAAAAATCCACAGGTTCACATTACCTCGTGGAAAGGTTATTGGACATTGAAATCGGAATGAAAAATATACTGCTAATGTGGTTAATATGACAAAAAACAAGTTATGATTTGAAACTAAGACATTAGGCTCTTTAACTAATCCTGTAAAAGAAAAATAATAAAAATGCAGTACTATCCGTTCTTCAGCATTAACGATGATGCGATCTTTTGGACTTTATACTTTAGTTTAGAATGCAATCAACTCATAAACTACGACTGCATTTAATGACGCAGAATCCAGATATAATCATACTACTGGAAAATAAAATAATGAAGCTAAGCACTTATATGTCCTAGTAGTGTTCAATGACCTTGAAAGGGAGTAGACTAACTATTACGGTAACTGGTTCGTAAACTATGGAGCGTTATTTGTTAGTGACAGTTGTGTGTGTATTGGGATTATTTATATTGCTGATAATTCTTGCTTTTTGTAATGTGTTAATTCTGTGGAAAACATATGTGTGCGTTGTTATTAAACAACTGAATTCTTGGATGTGATAGCTGCAGGTATCCAGAATACCTACTACTCTGAGACAAACGCACTCAATTAAATCACCAGACAGACAAGATCATATGGTTAAAAACTGAATAAAGTCGGTACAGTCAGTTGAATAAACTGTTATTCTTCGGACACTACCAAATACCTGTGTTCATACTGAAAGAACAAGAAGGGAACGCAAAGGTTCTGTTTTTTCGGATGTTTTGACAACTTCGACAAGTTTCATGTCATGGTATTGTTAATATGCTGTTGTTTTATTCACATATAGGACTGTGTTATGCAAATGATATAACTAGTGACGAAAAATGATTATATCGACTGTTCTAACATTCTTATTTCCATTTCCATTTTTAAACACTGGTCTCATAGTACAAAAAACTCATGCGTGAAACATATTTGAAACGTGTCATATTTTCACGTTTTTAATGGTAAAATATCCCCGCGGCTTTCTGTTTTCGGTCGTGCTAGTGAGTTTCTTTCAGATAGACTACAGTCTAGTCTCAGAGTCAATATAACTATCACACTCCTATAAACCATTTACATAGAGTTAGTGAAATATTCAAATGTCAGTTTGTTCTATGGACCAAATTATTTTGACTTTAAATCAGAAGGCTTCGTGTTTCGGTCAAAATGAACTCACCGGTGGTTACACAGGCAGAGATATTTTTGGTTAGATGTAATCTTAATTATGATTAGGATCGACATGTTCCTCTTATGCATCTATATTCATTGACGACTCGTAAAACCTTTCTGCTTATTCCTCACTAGAGTGCTTTAGGTTTCTGTGGAGTGAAAACTTCAGATTCAATTATTTTTAACAACCTTGATCATTGTTGATCTATACTCAGAGCATTACAGGACTGTTGTAAACAAAGTGCAGTATTATTTTTAGTGTTCATTTTTAGACAGTAAAAAATAGTGTTATCAATTGTATTTTTCGAATTATTAGTGGGATCAAGGACTTACAAGCTCATATTTTCAGTAGTATTTGGCTTCACTTTAGTTCACCAGAGAATTTTCGAGAGGTGTTTGTTGGGAAATTAAATAAGACCATTTCACTACATATTGCTTTCGAAATGCCAACCGTATCTTGGAGATCCTGAATATTGTCTTAGCTTAACTTTTTAAAACCTGTTTTGTGGTGGTGGTGTTTGGTTCTCTGAGCTGGATGTTTTGGTTGTGGAGCTGTGGAGTTTGTGCTGATGATATTGTTCAGAAGAACAACGAAAGACCTAAAACCAAAACATCCAGCTCAGAGAACCAATCACCGCCACCAACACAAAACAGGTTTTAAAACGTTAATCTAAACTTCCATATCTACATCAAGTTATTTTCGGTGGCTTATTTGCATTAGAATCTAATTGTCTACCCTATTTCCTTATGCTCAGGTTTTTTAAGACATGCTTCTGAGATAGTGGAGAAACTTTGTAGCTCAGATGAATGATTATGGTGGTGTTTCGTTCTCTAAGCTGGATGTTTTGGTTGTGAAGCTTTCATTGAAAGCTTCTTCCGGTGTATTTACTCCTACAGATAACCGTAAAACGGTAAAAAAAAACCGAGTTTTAAGTGATAAAGTTGTCTTTGCAGTCTAACTGCATTTCATCTACTAAGAAAAAAGTCCATATTTAATACAAGTTATCCGTTGAAAGTAACCAGTAAACAGATTAGCTCTACCTTATTGAGATTCATAGAGACCGTATCTATAATGAAGCTGGAATCGGATTCTTATATTCTAATAGACAGTTTTTAACTTTTCTCTGTTTTTCCTAACAGAAATAGACACTATGAGTAGCTTTATGTTTCATTCTTTACGTTATAATGATTATTGTCGGATGAATATTTTTCACATAATCTCAATAAACCCTTGTTGAACTTAGTACAAAAGTTAAACTTCCAAGTCTTTGTTTTTAAAACACCTTACCCATACATGTTAGTTTTAATTTTGTTACAAAATTTTCATTTGTATCATTTAACTGTTCTTTAGTAGACAATTTATTGATTAAATGCCTAATTACGCAAGAATTTTGAACAACTCCTATTAAATTCCACATAAATGAACATAAAACAATGATTTAAAATAAATTCACATTGTTTGACAAAGTGCATTTTGTCTGTTTCCCTTAAATTTAAGAAGACTATCAATGCCACAGCGATTAGATGCAAATCATCAAGAATTTAGAAGCACTAGCATAAACTTCAAAATTCACTAGCTTTACGATGCTTGAGAAGAAAATCTGCTTTTTTAGACTAAACTATTTTAATTTTATAAATTATACGAGAAGTAGAGAGTGAATAATTCACTTCCCGTATTTAATTACGTTTTGAACCTTGTTTGATTTGTTGAATTGGTTCTGAAGAGTACGACGTAGTTCCATGGAGATGAAATTCCAGTGCAAAATAGTCCGTATGTACACGTATTTCATTTACTGACGTGTCATTTCATCCTTCATGTCATCATCATCATCATCGTCATCACCAACAACAGTAACGTAGAACTTTTGCACGTAAGTACAACAGTTCGTGTCACTAAATATGTAGCTATAATGTACTGTTTATTTCTTAATTCTATATTAAATACTATTTATGATTCATTTTTAAAAAAAAAATTACTTTTCTCTTTTAGAATTTATTATTTTTACGAGCATATAATATGCCTTCGATTTTTTTTTGATAATGGATTATGAATAAGGCTAACAGACAGTGTTCAAACTTCACAACACAATCACAGAAATATCTACAACTTTTCCAGCTTTTCTACACCAATGTCATATCTTAAACAATTTCCAATACGTCTGGAATCATGGTTGGATGTTTGGGGTAATAAAAAAATTATATACAAAATATGGTTCTTAACCGGCTTTTTTTTTGTTGGTAACAGATGTTGACTCAATCGAGCATAGTTATTCTGAATGGAAATATTTTGCTTATAATTTACCTAATCCTGTATGGATGAAAAAATTCTGTGTTATTGTTGAAAATGAACAAAGATTTTATATTTTCAATTCAAAACATGTAAGAATTTTTTTAACTTTTGAATTAACGTATAATATTGACTAAATGCTTTTAAGACTGATTAAAATTTAGTCGTATAGGGCACTTACAGATATCATTATAATGGCGCATGTCGCTTCTAGGCTGCCCATACCGTGAAAGGGTGTGTAGATATCGTCGAGTTTTCATAGTTTACATTATGGATTGGTCTTAGTAGAGTTGGATAAGCACTGAAAGATGGACAGGTGTTTTATTTTCTTCTGCTTCCTGGTTTCAAATGCCTTGTCCAAGTATTATCTACCGGTTGTGTAATTACAACAACAGATGTTAAAAATGCTCAGCAAGAGTTAAATTTTGTTATGTAGATTTTACATTTTCTGGTTTGATTTGTTCTCCTTACTAACAGTTTATTCTTAACATGATTATCTATAATTCACTTATTTCCAACGATAAATATATAGTTTGGATCTTAGAATCTTGAAAACTATGATCATGTATTTCTTTCTGTTTAATAATCTTAGGGATACCATCCCTAACTCAGATCTCACTCATATAGTCGGAAAATGAAAATTTCGGTATGGCAAAAAAGATAATCACTACCCGACATGAGACGAAGGGTGAATAACAGTGTGTTTAAGCACATTTGCATCATTCTGGGCTGCATCTCTTGCTATTCTATGCCATACTATGTGTATACCATATGCTATTATACTGCTGCTATATAAAGATGAAGGTTTCTTATGAGACCAGAGGTTCAATGTGAACATTGTAGATGACTTAACATTGCTTTGGCAAATATTGCTAACAGTCCATATATAAAACTGATTAGCAGGGTGACCGATTTCATCGATACTGATGGTTGTGTTATAACATTCCCGAGGGTGATTGCCATTGGAATGCTGTATTGCATATTACCATTGCTAATAATAATGAGTTTGACAGTCATTTAAGCGGGATGAGTCGAATTGGCCTGTTGATCGATTGGACATATTCACTATTTATATGCATTAGTGTATATAAGTGGTGTGAATGGTCGATCGGGGTGTCAGGTACCTGTGTGGTTGCTCCACAGGATAAATCTGTACTGTTCATGTTTTAGGCAGTCTCTGGTTCTCATGAAAACCAATGTCAAATTACCCTTGCCAAAAGAGGGTTGGTTTTTATAATTGTGACATTCTATTTCATACCTTATCGTTGTGAATGTTTAAGTTGTTTCACATAATTTAAATCAAATATTCAGACATTAAGTATCATGTCACAAAACTCCCAAAAAATAGTACCTAAAGAAAGCACAGTATCTATTTCATCATATATAAAAATAATGAGGACTGTACGACGTATTCAGCAACAACATACTGTGGGAGAAAACAAACCAGTTTCCAGTGGAGGAGGAAATCAGGAAGAAGCAGTGGAGTTGGATAGGACACACAGTGAGAAAAGCACCAAACTACGTCACGAGACAAGCCCTGACATGGAACCCTCAAGGCAAAAGGAAAAGAGGAAGGCCAAGGAACACATTACGCCGTGAAACAGAGAAAGATATGAGAGGAATGAACAAACATTGAACAGAACTGGAGAGGGAAGCCCAGGACAGAGTTGGTTGGAGAAAACTGGGGGGTAACAGGCGTAAGTAAGTAAGTAAGTTACGACAGATGTTATCAGGTCTCTTGAGCTTTCGTTGCAATTCCCTTCACTTCCTGTCTGCTGAACGTCACAGAGTTTCGACTATTCAAAATGCCATTGCATTACAGTGGAACTACTAAAAGCCTATATAATGGTCTATTTTTATTGACTTGCTTCTCATAGACTTAAAACAAATTTATCTTCAGTAAACACAATCTACCTTAAACTACTACATTAGGAAACGGGTGCTAGGTAAGGATGGTAGATCAGTAGATGAAGTATTGAAACTTCATCAGTTGAGGTGGTTAAGACATGTGTTACGAATGCCTAACCACCGACTGCGTCGACGAGCTATGTTTTGTGGTGTAGGAGTAGGTTGGAAGAAAGTTAGGGGCGGCCAAATCAAAACATGGCAGAAATCCATGAAGTCACTGACAAGTGGACTGAGTCATGTTGGTAGATGTAGACTACCTGGTTGGGGTCCGCGAGACGATAGTCACCAATGGTTAGAGACCTTGAACGACATGGATCAAAATCGTTTGCAATGGCGCAAGTGCATCCATTCTTTAAGCTCTCTCAAATCCTAATCTTCTGGATTCGTCAGCACCTCTACCTTTGTCTTTCTAACCTTATCTCACTGAATTATACTTCTTGAATAATATCTTCAAACCCTCTTATTCTTCATTACCATTAATACCTCTACTATCTTTATCACTATGGTATTTGATTTAACATTTGCGTGTCTATGTGCTAATGTAGTATGGCAACATGAACTTATGTACATACGTACGAAGTTCTACGTTGCAACTGACTGACTGACTGTCTTCGCACACTAGAACACAGAGAATTTCCTCACAAAGCTAGTCACTAGTGAGCAAATTTTAGAAATCTATCACTCATGTTTGAAAGTTATTGATGTCAGAGATTCAATTTTCTTATAACTTAGACAATATAATTATTACACAATATACTTTATTGTTGAACACAAATAACCATAATTAATTATAGTTAACAAAAATATGTGGGCTAATGAGGTTGTGTGATCGATTGGGGAGAAAAATGTAATTGATTTCAACTGTTCACCAATTTAGTGAATTCTCGTCCCGATCGAAATTAAGGCGTTTAAATTAAGGCATATTGAAGATATAACAAACTGACCGGTTTGTTCAATATGAAAAGATAAACAACTAGTCATGATTAACTTAAATTTAGTTAGTCTTAAAATTACAACTAAGATAAAATAATTGTTTTTTTGAAAATTATTTGATTTAACTGCTTCAATGTTCATTGTTCAATCGTCGATTGCTGTTAGTTTCGATTTCTAAATGACATTTTACATTATACTCTACCATGTATGTAACTAGTTGCATTTGAAGATTACTCAATGCATTACACCTCTCAATTTAACCCAATAACATTTTAATTTTACAACATTTGACTTGGGGATAATCGTAGGTTATTCGGTGTCTTCGAAGCATTGCTAGTATATCCTGAGACTATGGAGTAAGAAATGCTGTTGTTAAGAAGCGAGTATCAGGTAAGGATGGTAGATCAATAGATGAAGTATTGAAACTTCATCAGTTGAGCCATATTAGTAGGTGTAGATTACTTGGTTTGGGTCCGTAAGATGATAGTAATCGATGGTTAAACACTTTGAATAACATAGCTCAAAATCGTTTGCGATAGCGCAAGTGCATCCGTTCTTTGTATTCTCTCAAATCCTAATCTTCTGAATGCCTTGTTATATTATCTTTCTCTTTTTAAGTTTATTTCACTAGATTTGACTTCTTAAATAATATCTTCGAGACCTAATCTCTTCGATTACTGTTAATACTTCTACTAACTCAACTATTATGAGATTTGAATTGACAATTGGGTCTTTGAGCTAATGTGGTATGTCAGCATGAACTTATGTGCGCACGTACGAAGTTGTAAGTTGTAACTGACTGACTGAGTTGAGTGTTACGCATGCACGTAAACAAGTCAATATGATATGCTTGGACTATTATAAGTTTACCTTTGTTAGTAAACGAGAGCGAGGGTGGAGGATCCGGTGACACGACAGGATAGTCTAATCAGAGTGTCCCAACCCCCAGTGAGTAGAAGAGGAAGACTTGATATGAAGTAGAACGTGTATTCTGCAAGCATCCAGGAAGTACGAGGTGCGAGTCCAGAAAAGAATCAGGATGCTTGACCAAGGATCCGGGTCCGGGTCATAAAACTTTACAGATAATGCGTAATTTATACTGTTAAGTCAAATAGGAACCAACATTGAAGCATGTGACATTGATAGTTAGGACGGTTAATAGAAAACATCACTTGAAGTGACAGTGACAGTTAGGACGACCAGTACGAATTAACCAATAGGAAATGACCAATAGAACTGGACTTACAAATAATTCTATTAGGATATTGGATGAATATCCTAACACTAACAAATCATATCATATCGCACAAGTGTATCCATTCTTTGCATTCTCACAAATCTTAATCTTCCAAATTCCTCATTACCTTAATCTTTCTCTTTTTAAGTTTATTTCACTGAATTTATACTTCTTGAATGACTACCTTCGAACCCTAATCTTCTCCATTATCGCCAATACTTCTACTACCATGACTGCTATAGGAAATGAATTGACAATTGCATCTTTGTGTGCTAGTGTGGTATGGCAACTTAAACCTATATATGTACGTACGAAGTCCAAAGTTGTTGCTGACTAACTGACAAACCAACATGATATTCACTGAAATTTATTATGAACTCATTTTCAATCGAAAGATTTCTTTGTATTGTTTAGTTTATGAATAATTGTAAAATTTATACATTGAATGTTGAAAATTTGATTATAATTTGTTTTAACTGAGTCATTCAATATAACCGTTACTTAAATGTACCATTGTATTTTTTATGATTGTCCAGTTTGTATGCACATATATGATTGAATATATATATTGATTGCTTACCTCCTACATGCATATTCATTCTATTCACTTTAAATTGTTAACCTCTATGGGTTCATTTATTTTCCAATGTACATTTTAATCCGAATCATTCATTGACTGACTCGCTTGTTTGTTCTTCAACACTCGCATATCATTTTGTTTCGCGTAGCTATGGTATTTTGGCTGTCTGTTGTTGTGCAACAATAAAACTCATTCAACACTTCGTATTCTTTGGGCGTTAGCTAATAACGGTGATCAGGATGAGTAGTATACAATGTCTAAGGAATTATATCGACTACCGTACTGGTTAGCGTTTTTTTGGCAAGTTAGTTTTAAGTTGGGATAGGGGCGCCAACTCTATGTCCAAACCCTCCTCCTTTATCCTGGCTTAGGACCGGTAGTAGCCCCGAAAGGACTACAGGCGGCTACCATACACCACAGAATATTCATAATTTGAATTATTATTCATTATAATTATTGATACATATCACTCTTTGTTTAAATATATCTATTGATTTGTTCAACATTCAATTTCATTATAGGATACAATTTAAATTTTAATCTATTAAATGATTACGTATAAATGTTCATTTTAATTTTTTTTGTTTTCTCTCTCCACATACTACATTTTGCAGGATTCTTCATGTCTATTGTCTTCATCTCCTCATACTGACATATCGACTATTAACAATGATGAAGATTATTATGCTTTGCAAACTACTGCATATAATACCTTAACGAATAATATTGATAATAATCACAGTTATTATCCTTTCAACAATAATAGTTATGCAGACAATCATGAAAGTAAGTTACAGTAATTGTTTATTAATTAAGTAAACTTTTCTTTTACTAAACCGATATATATATATATATATATATATATATATATATATGATATCGATTTTTTGGAGGATAATCAATTTTCGAATAAATTACATTGATAGTGGGACGAGGTGAATAGACAGAATATAATAAAAATAAAATAATCACCTTTTTGTTTGAAAAAAAAATTTACTTGACTAATTGTGTTATTGAATATTGAACACATTGAAGAGGAAGTTCGGTTAAACGTAGGATTGTTTTAATCAACCAACACACTTAGCGCAAAACTGACAAAAAACAGTAGAAATGGTGAAATATATTACAGAGATATTATGTAGAGTGGAGAGTTTCGTGAAGATGATCTTTACTATCCTGTGTGTAAGTGTGGTCGGTTTTAATATGAGTGGATTTTTAAATAGATATTTTGAAATACACGCACACACAAAACACTACTTCTGATCTATATGCTTCGTTAGTTTTTACTGTCCTCAAATAATTACTGTTCTGTACAATTGTATCGTTTTAATTTCGCGGTTGTTTTGTTTTGATGCTAAAAGATATAACACTGCATTGTTGCACGATGTTATCTAGTTTAACAGTTATATGACATTTGTTGGCGTACAAGTTCTAGATTAGACTATGCAGTAAAATGACTTAACAGTTAACTTAAATTTTAATTTTTGTTATAATTTTCTTACACATTTTTGAAACCATGAATCAATCAATGTTAGACCACCATTAGAAACCTGGAAGCACTGAAAAACGGCCGTTTCGTCCTGGTATGGGACTCCTTCTTCACAACCCCGTAATGATAATTTTCTTAGTTGTGTTTTTCTTCAAACTATTGTACTGAGACATGTGTAACGAATTCCCAGCCATCGATTACCTCGTTGAGTTATGTTTTGTGGTGTAAGAGTAGTTTCAGAGAAAACTAGGGGCAACCAAACAAAAATATGTCTCAAATCCATGAAGTCACTAATAACTGGATTGACTCATGTTGATGAATGCAGACTTTCATCTGGTTGAGGTCCACGAGACGATAGTAATCGATATTTAGAGACCCTGAATGACATGATTAAGAACCGTTAGTAGCGGCGTCGGTGCATCCATTCTTTGTGTTCTCTCAAGCTGTAATCTTCTGGATTCCTCTAGAGTATACATCCCGATTAATAACTTCGAACCCTAATCTCTTCGATTACTGCTAATACTTCTACTACCTGTACTACTATGGGATTTGAATTGGCGATTTCGTCTCTGTGCTGATGTGGTACGGTAACTTGAACTAATGAACGTACTTATGTAGGAAGTTCTACATTGTAACAGACTGACTTACTTCCATGGTATTACTAATTGTCAATGTGATCTATGATTAACGGTGGCAATTGCCTGGTTTTCTAAATCAAGAAGTTATTTATCATAAAGCTAACTGACTGAATACTTATACTTTCATTCTTTAAGTTAAATTCAAACTATGTCCTCATTTTTTTTAGGATAGGATTTTTTCAGATTCCACAAGTTTATTATATTGATTTCATTCTTAGCTGCACTAATATAAATTATGATTATCTAAACCGCCAGATATTCATACTGATTGAACCTGGTATGTCCCTGTAAAATTTTACATTACTCTTAGTTAAGTAGGATAATCAACAAGACAGCCTCCCACGCCTTATACACGTCTTGTTCATTACTTATGGTTGAAAGTAATTTTTTACTGATTTTCCCTAGTATTTATACACTCGTTGTTAGGATATTTACCAAACATCGTATGAAGAATTCTATTGGTCGATTCCTATTGGTCAATATTATGGTCGCCCTAACTATCAATGTCACTTACTTCAAACGTTGTTTCCCATTTGACAACCTAACTATCAATGTCAGAGACTTCAAAGTTCTTTCTTATTCGACCTAACTGTATAAATATGCATTATCTGTAACGTTTCATGACCCGGATCCTTAGTCTGGGATCCTTAGCCTCTCCTGGATTCGGACGTCGTACTCTCTGGATGCTTGTAGAATACCGGTTCTACTACATATCAAGTCTTTTTCTTTCACTCAATGGAGGTTGGTACACTCGGATTAGAGTATCCTGTCATGTCTCCAGATCCTCGATCCTCGCTCTCGTTTACTAACAAAGGTAAACTTATAATAGTCCAAGCTTATCAAATTGACTTGTTTACGTGCATGCGTAACACTCAGCTCAGTCTGTCAGTTACAACGTAGAACTTTGTACGTGCGCACATAAGTTCATGTTGCCATACCACATTAGCTCAAAGACCCAATTGTCAATTCAAATCTCATAATAGTTGAGTTAGTAGAAGTATTAGCAGTAATCGAAGAGATTAGGGCTCGAACATATTATTTAAGAAGTAAAATCCAGTGAGATAAACTTAAAAAGAGAAAGATAAAGGTAACAAGGTATTCAGAAGATTAGGATTTAAGCGAATACAAAGAATGGCTGCACTTGCGCCATTGAAAACCCTTTCGAGCTATGTTATTCAAAGTATCTAATCATCGATTACTATCATCTCGCGGACTCCAATCAGGTAGTCTACATTTACCTAGTTGGATGAATATTTTAAGTATACTGATATCTTTCAAATCATAAAATTGACTCTTTATTATGTGTGCATATTCAAATCATTGTTCCTAACTTCATTGTTTTTCTAACAAGCTAACGATATGTGTTATGATTTCATTTTTATATTGATTAATGTATCTTACTAGTTCAATTAGAACTAAAATTCAAGATTTCTTAAATTAAATCCTTCTATAATAATAAGTTGTATAACTTTATTTATCAATGACCTTTCAACAAGATAATAAGTTTTTTTTTTCAAAAAAATGTTTGAATGTTATCACTTACCTAGATGCATTAATATTAACTAACATAAAATTAGATAAGTGTAAGTTTTGAAGACAATCAAATGAAAACAAGACACACTAGTTGATGATATATTATTTGGTTACTGGTTTGGATCTGGTTATTCGTTGAATATAACTTCCCGAAGTGTTTAATTCCCTTTTACGGTTATTTTCTTTCATGACTCTTCGCTTATTTTGATAATTTCTGACCTCTATGTTTTGATATGGCGTGTCAACACTTGGATCGATATAAATTAGTGCATAGTTGACAATGTTGTCCACAGCAAACTGTTTGATATTCAATAGAATTGGCAAGCAATAAAGATTACAAAAAAACATAGAAGTAGGTTCACTCGTACACCACTTGAACGAGCTACTTTTATACTGTACCTCGGCCAGTAGAACCTTCGGAGCTACTGCCGGTCCCAAGCTCAGATAAAGGAGGAGGAGTTGGATATGGGATTGGCGCCCCTATCACAACTATAAACTAACTTGCCAAAAAAACGCTAACCAGAAAAAATAAATCAATCCATTTTTCAATGTCCTGTTCGGTCGACTTATGGACAAAGAGAGATGAAATGGCAATATAGTCTCCATTAGGTTCAGTTCTAGTCGAATGTTGTTTCACGTCCAAGCTTAAAAAACAATTATTTTGAGTAGGTCTAAACAAAGAGATATATGGATGAAACGTTCGTTAATTGCAATGAGAATGATGACTTAATTGAGATGTTGCTGTCTTTTCCCAGATTTAATTTTTAGAAAATGTAGTTTCATTTTTTGACCTGCTTATAAGGGTCCATTTACAGAAAAGAGATACGGAACAGCTAGCTAAGTAAGTTCTATAGCTAAGAGGAATCGGATTCAGTCTTTATGTTATCGAGTAATGTTGCTTCATAGAGAAGAATATGAAAGAAAATCGGAACACAGAATCCACAAACTCCGTGTTAGGATATTCACCAAATATCTTACGAAGAATCATTTTGTAAGTGTAAATTCCATTGGTCGATTCCTACAAGTCAATATTATGGTCGCCCCAGATATCAATGTCACGTACTTCAGTGTTGTTTCCCATTGGTCGTCACTGTCACTTCAAATATTTTTCCTATTGGTCGCCTTAACTGTCAATGTCAAAGACGTCGATACTGTTCCCTATTCGACCTAAATGTATAAATACGCATTATCTGTAACGTTTTATGACCCTGACCCGGACTCGGATACCTAGTCTGGGATCCTGATTCTCTTCTGAACTCGGACCTCGTACTTTCTGGATGCTCGTAGAATACATGTTCTACTTCATATCAAGTCATTATTTCACTCAATGGGGGTCGCGACACTCGGATTAGAGTAGCATGTCGTGTCACTGGATCGTCGATCCTTACTCTCGTTTCACGATTATGGTAAACTCGTAATAGCTCAAGCCTATCAAAAATGACATGTTTACGTTCATGCGTAACACTGTGTTTCAAAAAAATATTACTACATGCAACCTGAATTTAAAGATGACCAAAATTCTGAGGTATTTAAATTATCGGTCACCCACGGAAAAAACAAGAACCCTCCTTGCAGCGAAGCTGCAACTAACGTCAACTAGTAGAAAATTTTTTTTTCTGTATCTCTAAATGATAAGCCTACACATCTAATCAGCTTCACATGTATCAGCTCACTTGTTTTTGTTGAGCGAGGTACATAGGCCATAGCCAGCACTTGCTTCCTATCGTTTGAATTATTTTCCTGGTTAGCCTTTTTTTGCGAGTTAGATTTCGACGGAATGGGGTCGCCACCCCATGTCCAACCCTCCTCCTTTATCCGGGTTTGGGACCGGCAGTAGCACCTAAGGTTCAACTGGCGGAGTTACTTGCTTCCTATACGTTACGAAAACATGTCCTAGTATTGTTCTTCAAAGGTGAACGGAAGTTCTATTTTCGAACATTTATTCGATTCCAATTACTTCACTGATCCACAGGTTTATTTTAAGCGTCACTCATACAGTTACTCGAAATCTACCTAGATTTATTTGTTTCCATCTCCTTAAATCAGCAGCAGCTCTTGTCATCCATGAAATGAAGTGACAACTGTAAATAGAAATGAATAAGGGTTATCCTTCTCTTTACCATGAC